TACTCAAGTAACATGGCCATAATCCTGGATACATCCTAGCCGTCTCAGGGTAGCTGTGACCAATCATCGCAAAGCCCTAACATCTTCCGGCGAATTAATTCCTCGCAACAAAATCACATCTACTTCATCTGAATTCTGTTTTTTTAGATGGTATGAATCCCTGATAGACCACTCTTACTGAATCATTATTGTCGAATCTAGTCCACTTATCTCTCAGTTGCCTACTCATCTCCTGATAACTCAAGGCTCCCACTAGAAAAACAGAATCACAGACCCACTTATTCCTGTGATTCACTCATATTTGGCTAAGACTCAGATAATCTCATTGTGAGTGACTTGTCACTTCCCAATCAACCAACTATCATGTTTGTACTTGCAACTTAGGGCAAAAATACTAACATTGCCCAACCGTTGAAACTGTCCGAACACTAAACTTCCTGAAGCAGCATGCTGCTACATAGTTGCTTCTCAAAATCTATCGAGACCTCCCTGGTCTTAATTCATCTGTCAGCCATCTTAAATACCGGGTTCCATCCCGGTCACTGAACTAAAAGGGCTCTCACTTAGTCGTTTCATACGACTTCTACGCAAAATCCATCTCTGGACTAGTTGCCACTTGTTACCATGTCATTGAAGCTCTATCAATTTCCTAATCCAACCAATCGGGTCCATGCGTCGAATCTTGACGTTACTAAATCCCAAGCTAAAAGTGATTGCCACCTAACCGTTGGTAGCCTTATATCACAAGCAACCTTAAGAAATTCCTTGCTTCCTTGATCTCCTAATTGTAGTGGCATTACTACAGCCTTATCACTAGTCCAACCTGATCTAATCCTCTTGGGTAATTCCAAAATCCAATCCGTGATATTCCATATCCTCAATGTTGCACCTGAACTAGTGCGTATTACTATCCATTATGCGTCCTAACAAAGCTCTCATGATATCTGCCAATGAAGTGAAGGTTGCGGCTACACTCACAGACTTATATTACTTAAGTACTATCTGCTCACTAGTGAATGCTACGGCTACCCCCGTAGTCTTACAACACTTTCCATACCAATCAAACACACACTCGACCGAACTCCAAACCCGCATAACCCTCAACCCAAATGGCCACTTGGGCCGCCTTTTTCCTCAAGAAGTCCATCCCGGTCTCATATCTGTCCCTATCCTGAATACTTGCATGATTCTCCCCCACTTAGATTCAATTAAGTCTTCGTAATACCTGAGTTTGGAAGGATTCCCAATCCTTCTTATTCGTTAATAATCCACTGCTGACAACCTGTTTCTTGTCCGAGCGAGTGTTCCATTACCGACCCCAAACCCCAAGGGCCACACAACTCCTAAAGATCCGGCAACACTTCCCGAATTCTAGCGAGACTAATACTCTCAGGCGCCTTGAAATAATGCCCCACCTATATCCTGAAGTCCAATAACCGATGTCCAGACCAAACCTCAACAGTAACCCACTTTTTGTAGCGCTTCCAAAAGATGACCCGGGCATAATGGCCGAGTCACCAATCCTGTCCGTAGGCCTTCCGCATCACGTCTCTGTACCGATCTCGACTACTAACCCAAACAACGTTGGGCGCTCCAAACCAATCCTTGCTCTTGAGCTCCAAAAATCATATCATTCAGGGTCTCGCACCTTGACGCACTTACCAACTCAGTCGTCAATGGCCAATCTGCAAGTTGGAGCAACCTCTACCCTACCCAGGTTACAACAACTTCCCAAGTCGATCTCCAATCCAGGAAGCATAATAGAACACATAATCAACCCGTACTGTCCGATACAGGAGCCCCACAGTGAACTCAAAACCCTGGCAGTCCTTCCGCTAACTGGCTCACCACTGGAGCCGGGACCAAACCCTGGTTCTTCTCCTTACACGCTCATCTGCATTCTACACAACAACTATTTCCATGGTCCAATCATAACTAATAATCCCCTTTCCCTTCAGTTTCTTAGATTATCCAAGACTTTTGCTGATTTGAGTATGGATCCTGTGCTTTCAGTAGTACGAGCCCATACTACCTTCCACACCTATCCATACTTTTCTCAGCAATCCTCTTGAATCCTCTAAGTCATCTATTCCACTGGTACACCAATAATCGCTAAACAGCAACACAATATCCACCGAAGCACCTCTTAGGCTCCCCCTAGGCTCCCAACTCCACCGAACTGCCTCTACTAAGCTCACTATATTTCCTAGGTTCTCAACCTCACCCTGCCATCAGCTTCTGAAGAACACCCCACGATACCAGCCATCCACCTCCTGGATATCGTCATATCCACTTAGTAGCTGACTCCTATCGCTCAAGAGTTCCACAAAGCACAATGCAAGCAACATTCATGTAGTAGCATTCAGATCCAAAGAACTATCATAGAACATTCCACCCACATGTCGCGATTCGCGCTATCCACATCCGTCAATCCTGACCGTCGGTTGTCTTATACATGCAAATTATATACAGAACATGATCCAATAGCCTATCAAATAATAGACTCTACCCTAGGACCACAACCAAACAAGGAACAGGAAATAAGGCCAAATCTATTATTGTATGGCTATATGATCCTAACCGTATACAATATTAAAAGCATACACATAACAGTTACTAATACCAATACTCATTCTCATTCCGACATCGCATCAAATATTCCTAAGGCTATAAGCATTACATATTAGACCAATCTATTGCTGGTTACTCAGCACTAGCATGCAAGTCTACCAGCTCATACAACATATACATGCATCTCCCCTAGCCCTAACTAGCATGCGATTCACAGATTCATAAACCAAGTCATAACAAATATCGTATATAAGTATTCTGTGGAAACTTACTTGAGTTTAGCTGATTGCACGCATCACACACATTGTTCTTTTCAAAGTTCTTTTCCCTTTTTAGTTTCTTTTTCAAATTCCTTTTTGTAAAAAAATGATTTTCTTTTGGAAAATGTCATACCAAGTCCTCAGTCTGAGTCCATACACACCCAATAGTGTGCCCGAATCCCTCAAACCAAGGCTCTGATACCAAATTGTAACATCCCAAAATTCAAGGCCAAAAATTTTATTTTTTAATAAGTTATTATAACCATAAGTATACAAACATCCATAATATCAACTCATGTCAAACCAAAGTGTCAGTAATCAAAATATGTTATCATAAATATATCAGAGATTAATCCCAAAGATCTCATGTGCGGAAAACATAGTGTGATGCGCTGCGATCACCGGTTCCTTTCCTTTGAAAACGAAGTACCTGAAACAAATAGCTAAAAGCCGTAAGCACGAAGCTTAGTGAGTTTCCCAGAGCATACCCCACACACAATCCACATAACACATATCATATCAACTATAAAATTTATCTCTACCACATACGTCATATCAATCACATAAGTCATGCGCACAACAACTAGGGATGCCCTGGGCTCGTCCCCAGGGTCTTACTCCAGGATGCCATGGGCTCCCCACATGGTCTTACACCTAAGTGCCATGGGATCTCCCATGGTCTTTAGTAGGAAATCCATGGGCTCTGCACATGGTCTTACATCCTAAGTGCCATGGACTCTCCCATGGTCTTTAGTAGGAAAGCCATGGTCTCTACACATGGTCTTACATCCTGTTGCCATGGGCTCTCCCATGGTCTTTAGTAGGAAAGCCATGGGCTCTCCACATGGTCTTACATCCAGGTGCCATGGGCTCTCCCATCGTCTCCCATGCAAATATCACATAAACAAATAGCATAGCACCTAGCATATAACCAACTAGTATACCACATATCACTACCTCAACTAATGTACCACATATCATAAAATGGACCGGCCTTGGTGCATTAGACCCATTGGTATAGTGAGAAGACTCATCTGGCACTGCTGAAGTCCCGCAAATGCAACTCCAGCTGCTGGTTGACAGATTCCCGAACTGCCAACATCACACAATACTCAATTAATAATTGGGTTCCAAGCCCAAGATCCAACTCACACTCCAAAGGCCTAATATTCAAGTTATGGGCCATAGCCCGACATATGGCCCAATTTTCCAAATTGGGCCCAAACCTTTACAAGGTCTTACCATAAGGCCCAACCATTTAGTCCAATCCAACATTCAACATTCTAATAGCCCAATATCACACAATCATTAAGGCCCAAACTATGTCCCATCTATGGCCCAATTTTCCAAATTGGGCCCAACTCCCCATATGGTCCTTACCCCAAGCCCATTAATTACTCTAGTCCACTTGCTTGATCTTGGATGGCCCGTTAATAATCCAATCATCACGGCCCAAAAGAAGGGCCCAACAATAAACCAAAGTAATATTAGTGTTTCACATAAAATGACAATTAGGGTTAAGTGTCCCTACTTAACCCATTAAAGACTTAATCCACTAAGTCCAATATTGCTTAGATTAATTTATGCCAATGATTATTATTTAATATTTCAAGTTATTAAATAATTCCCGCGCGTGTCCCGATAAATTATCAAAACTAGGGTTTTATTGGCATTAGGGTTTTCTAAACCCTATTAGGGCTTCCAACCCAAATACTAGCCGATTTATCAATTTGTTGGGCTTTTAGGTCAATTAAGGCTTTATTGGGCCTATTAGGCCCACTAGAATATCATTAAGCCCATTAGTCACAATCTTGGGCTTTTAGGTCCAATATGCTTCATTGGGTCCATTAGGGCTTTTAGCATCCCAAACGAATCAATTCAATGAGGTAAGCACACCGCCACCCAACACAGCGGCAGGAGGCGGCAGCCACCACCCTACGGTGGTGGTTTGATTTTTCCTTTCATTATTCCGATCCGATTACAATTTACAATGCTTTAAACTCGAATTAAACACACACACACACATACTAATAGGCTAACATACACACACAGCCACCCTAGTGGTGGCCAGCGGTGGCTTGTGGTGGCAATGGCTGTTCTTCGAGAATTTCGGCTAAACAACACCCAAACACCACATAACTACAAAAGACACACACACAACTGCGTTTTCTATTGTAAAACAAACTCAGCGACCCCTTGGTGGCGCACGACGACGGTAACATGAGGTTGGATACCGGCAGGTGGTGCCTTGCGATGACAGCCACCCCGGTGGTGTATAGTAACGGTAGCAGGAGCACCATCGATGACTGCAACGACTCTTACAGCAGCAACATCGGCGGATGGTGGAATAGCGAGACGTGTAGGGATGGCAACGGGGCGGGTTTGGGACGGGTTTTGGTAATCCCGCCCCCGTCCCCGAATATGAAAATCGATCCCATCACCGGCTCGATTCCCAACGGGTATCCGTTTACCAAACACTATCGGGTCTGCGGGTATCCCAACGGGGTAATGGGGATCCCCGTTTAACATTCAAATTAAATTTTTTTTTGATGAAATGAGAATATAAACCATTAGACTTAGTGATGCAAACATAAATTCATATCCAAAATAATTTTGATAATTTACAAAACTACTAAGAGCATACATATTTGTTCTGATACATAAGTGGTTACTAGTGGCAACAAAAACAATAAAGACACTAGCATTCATAAACCATAATATCACTATTACTCTAAGTAATATGAATAAAAAGGTGTCAAAACACTAGCATTACAAATAAACACGAAGCTATCTCAAGAAATTATCTTTAAATCGTTCACAACAAAGAAGATAACTCAAATAAATTAATATATATATATATATATATATATATATATATATATATATATATATATATATATATATATAAAATCATATTAACGGTTTCAGGTAACGGGTTTCGGTTTCGGTTTTGGTTTCGGGTAATCGGGACGGGTATGTTGTTTACCGTCCCCGTAACCAAACCCGCAAAATTTTCTAAAAGCATACCAAACCCGATCCCGACCCCAATTAACCGACCCCAAACCCGAACCTAATATGTCGGTTTTCGGTTTTCACCATCGGGTTCGGTTTCTTTTGCCATCCCTAGAGACGTGACTGAGGTCCAGCGTTGAAATGGAGGGGAATGGATGAAGCGAATAATATCAGCATCGCAACTACTAAGGAGAGCATCCGCTCGTCTTCACTGATGGCACAAGGACCACCAACATCACTGGGAAATGGCAGATGCGGCATCCGGCGGTGGCTTCGTCTTCTTCATAGAGGCGGTGCAGCGGTGACCCATTCTAGTCATTCATGACCCTTGCATCAACGACAATAGCACTCCTTACTCGATCTTCGACGGTCCTACTTCGGTTGTTCGAGACTTTATTGACAGCGGATTATGGCGGTGCTTAGCACACTAGGTGGCTCGTGGTCGGAGAAACAAGGGGAAAGTCGGTGATGACGGCTGGAGGAATGGAGGGGTGGTGACCGACTCTCCTTAAGGGTTAGGGTTTACAATGTGTCATCGGAACATATATATACCCGGACATTATTACAAATTTCCTATAATTACATGTTTGGTCCCTCCCCATGGGATCTTATCAATTTTAATCCAATATTTACAATTTAAACCCTGAATATGAAAATCCATTACAACTTATGTACGAAAATTACCAGACAACCCCCTATCTTCCATAATCTCTTCAAACGAAGTCCCATAACTTACCAATTGCTCCATGCCTTCATAGATACTTACAAAACTAATATGGAATTTACACTTTTAACCCTCAACTTCTAAAATTCTTCACAAATCAGTCTGAGACTTACATTTATTAATTTATTTAAATAAACGAGGCGTTACACTGACCCACTCAGTTTATTTGTATTACATGTGTCGATACAAAGCTACATTACACTAAAAGATTTAAAAGAGATGTAGATCACTAGTGTAAATGACTATAAGTTCTGTTTGTGCTTATGCTTCTGTATTGACGATGACATCCCAAAGTTTTTATATAAACCAAATACATTTCTTTAGAAATGCTTTAATAATATATTTATCATGTTTTTCTCGGAAAAAAATCCTCAATATTATTTTTTAAAATGAATACTTTGTTTTTCAAATAAGCATAAATAAAACTTTTAAAATAACTGTCAATTTGGGGATGTCACATACATCCCACTATCAACGGTAAGGACCAAATGAATGCCTAGTAAATTTATTCTAATTTATCCAAATTTCCCTTCAATATGTATGTTATCTATCATTCTTTCATCCAATATCATAACTGAGGAGAAACCTGAAAGAAATGAACTTTACATGGAAAAAACATAGGAATGAGTTAAGACCCCACTTATTATTATGATATTAACATATCAATTCATATCTATATGTAAAGGAGAATCTAACATACCTTGCTTATCCAGGAAACCTTGTACTTATATTAGAATGTCCTCACCTTTGTCTATATTACACTTAAACAACTGAAAATACTATCATACAAATTATATTGATATATATTTTTTGTTCAAGCATTTAATCAAACACGTTGTGTGCATAAAATACAAAATTGATAAATTTAAAGGAAGAAGAAGTGCATATGAAGATTGAAAGATGGAACTAGGTCTGCATGATTTGCTACGAAAGAAACAATTATGCAATACAAAATTACGAATTCCATCATGAAGTAACAGAGATGGCGGCATACTCATGAAATCGATCAAAAAGGAGCAGTTGTACAAATTGAACATATAATTCAATGTTTATGAATCACTTTTAATTTGAAGATCCTTATTGATATAATGGAAAGGAACTCCATTCAAAAGGCTATCAAAACCTATCTATAACAACAAACTCCACACACCTGAAGCACTTTGTAGAGAGAGAAAGAATAAGAAAAGCAAATACCCAGAAAAATTGATTCAAATAATACAAATACAAAGCACCCATATAATTACCTCTAATTATTAATACACCGATGGAAAAAGGGTCGTTAATGAAATTGAAGACATTGAGAACCCGTACTGATGATGGGAGAAAAGCAAGCAACACTGAAAATGAAACACAATATTTCAGTTTGAGTAGATAGAAAAGTTAATTAATCTAATTTATAAAAAAAAAAAACATATAAAAGAGAACTTACTGGAGAAGATTATGGTTCATGAGAAGAGATGGTGATGAATTTTTTAGGATTGTTTGTCAGACATCAATAGGAGCAACAGATGTCAAGTAACAAATAAAAAAAAACATTTAGTTGACAGTCGCCTTCAAGAGTTGAGATGGGGAGGAGAACCGGTATGAGGATAAGAGGAAGGGATTCATAATCACAATGAGGTGGGGTGCAAGAGACATAGTTCTAGGAAATCAAATGAAAGATTATCGACTAATAAGATGGAAATGTAGAGTAGTAGTTTTGAATTTGAAATGCTTTCATGAAATTAACCTGCGATTTAAGAATGATCATTCTAATTAGATAACATAAATCCAACTTGACATTTAGCGATATAAAGATGGAATGAACGGATTTTGAGTTGTAATTATCATTAGAATTAATTAACATAATGATGTGGCAATTAAATAAAAAACGAAATTACAATAAAATGATAGGTGAAAAAAATAAATTAAAAATACTCACAAAATGACACTTGATAAATTTAAAGAAAATATGACAAATAATAAATTTTTTTTATTTATTAGGTAGGATTTTTCCTTTTACCACTAACAATATAAAAATAATGACAAATTTCTGAAAAATGGTTCGAAACGAATAAAGTATTTTGAAAATGTCATAGTTTCGAAGGAGAAACTTACGCAAATTCCAGAATTGAGTTATTCTTATACCTATTAGAAACTATGATTATTATGATAATTATCCCTAAAATATTATTACTTTGATCCCATCAATTTGCATTTTTGTGAGTGCTAAATTAAAATCATGCCGAAGTATCAGAAAAGGCAGAGATTCGCTTACGCGGACTGTCAAATGTCAAGAACATAAAAGAGTACGCGTGGAAAGAGTCTAAACTCTCAACCGACACTTTGACTAATTTTTTAATTTTATTCTTTATTTGATTTTTAACTATGTAAATTTAATAACGGAATAATGGGAGACTTCCTCTTGTTTTTGTATTAACTTTTTTAATTACCTAACAATATACAAAATCATCTTCAACTAAGAAAAACGAATAACTTTTTTTATCTTATATATATGTTATTTGTTTTTTAACATATAAAAGATATATAGTTTGAGGAATATATCCGTAAATATTTATAAAATAATATGTGATCCAAAAGTTTGTGGTTTAGTAAAAAGAACATTGTTTGTTTTTTTTAAAGTTTATAGTCAGATAAAAAAATTGTTTGTTTGTTTTTTTTTTTTTTAAATCTGTGCGTTGCTAAAATAAGATGGTTTTTTTTTTTAAAGTTTATAGTCAGATAAAAAAATTGTTTTTTTTTAACGAGGGTTTCCGGGCCAGCTTTTGCGCACCGACTAATCCCCGCTGCAAACATAAAGCTTTGCCTAATGCCCTGGAGTCACTGCAGGCGAACCTCCATGGCTACAAAGACGGAGTGAAACACTAGAATATAATTCATACAACAATAATAATATTTTTTTAAAAGCATTTATTTCATATTTTGTATTAACTGCTTGTTAATTTCATATCATAAATGAGTCATATGTTTACAACATGTTGTAGTATCATGTGTTTCAACCTCGTTTTCATCGTTATCAATTTGTACAAGGTCAATTCGAAACAACATATTATGTTGATCGTATTTACCAAAATACTCACCGTTTAAATATTTTTCTTATAAAATTATGAACTATGAAACATACATTATTAATAGGGCCAATGCTGAAAAATTAAAAATTCTCAAAGGCTCGGAACGAAAAAAAAAAAATTCTTTATTTTATTATAAATTTTTATTTTTAAATAAAAATATATAATAAAAAAATTAGACCATGTACAGCTTAACTACTTTACCCTCCTTTAATGTCGCCATGAATATTAATGTTCATACATGGTACATTTTATTTTTATAATAGAAGAAAAAGTTCAGCCTAAAAAAGGATCATATAAATTGAAAAGAGATAGATAATACATCACATCGTAAATGATTTCACTAAAAAAGCAATGTCATTATTTTAATAATAATTTTGTAAATAGATTTAATACATTAGTCAATGAAATACAAAAAAAAAAGACCAAAATATTGAAAATAAAAGTTGAACTAACCAAATCATTATTTAGTCGGAAAGTCGTCAAAATAATAAAGTATACTACATATAACTGAAAATAGAAGTTGAACTAACCAAATCATTATTTAATCGGAAAGTCGTCAAAATACTAAAGTATACTACATATAACCTAAAGTTATATACCGCAAAGTTTTGTAAACAAATGCTGAAAATAGAAGTTGTTTAAACGATGCTTGCTCCAAGAAAAGGATTTACATACCTTTTTACTTTTTAGGTATGTAATGTGTAATGTTGTGAAAAAGAATT